CTCCTCTCCTCTCCTCTCCTCTCCTCTCTTCTTTCTCTTCTCTTCTTCTCTCTTTTTTTTTGGACCTCCCATTGAGTTCAAAGGTTTATCCTTCCAAAGAATATGAGTAATAGTCACAGTTTATGATGTCGTATTTGCTGTAATGCTTTGTTGTACTTGCTGAAATATTCACAACCTCCATTATTGCTTAGATCTTAAAAGAATTACACAGGAAGTCAAGTTCCATTCTTCAGTAAAATACAAAACTAGGATTATTCCCACTGGGCAATAAAAATATGAAAAGCTTAAAAAATACATCTATCTTTAGATTATTAAGCTTACAAAGTCAATCCAGATTCTTTGATTTGACTAGGACCCTATCCTGATGAGATATTTTTAAAATAAGCGAAATCAGCAACATTTTAATCTATGTATATCTCTAGCCACAGATTTTTAAAATTGTATTCAAGTACAATATTAAGTGATAGTATTGCCTCAAATCCAAAATGCTTTTTTTTTTTTTCACTTTTCCACTCTGGAAATTGGGATATCTTACGATCAGTGTGTAAAGTTATGTTGTGGTGGTTCTTTCCCATAAAAACTGGGAAACTGGTTTATACCTTAAACCAATAGTATATCTTGCGAGTGATGGAATCTTAGACATGAAAATATGGAATTCAGAAACCATCTTGCTTTGTGGTGTTATCTAAGGTGATTACACTTACCTTGTGTAAACTTAATTATTGGTAAAAGAAGGAAGTTTAATATGTAAGGAAGAAAATCCAAAGGCTTCATTAAGATTTTTAATACATACATACGTATGGGTCAAATGGCCATCATTCTAATTAATAGCTGGACTTTTTCATGTTTCAGCATTACTTTAATAGTCCTGAAGATTTCTTCAAATATGGTAGGAAATATCATATTTGTAATAGCAAGATTCCAAGGAGAGAAAAAGCTTCCCTGGCCAGTTTTCAGAAACCCCTTTCCTCACTCTCAGGGTACTGGTACCTCCTTTGGAGGGTCCTCGTGGAAGCTAAGGTGACAGCCATACCTGTCACTAGGATGTGCTACCACACAGCATTCAAAACCTGACGTATATACAGCACAGCGCTGGGTACACAGCAGTGATTCAATAAATATCTCCTGGCTCACTGATGCAAAATACAAAACTGTTCTAATTAGGCATGCGTATAGCTTTTAACATTCAGGAAAACCAAATTTCTAAAAATGTTCCCTTTTCCTCTTTTTCCTACCAAATTCCTGTGAGCTAATTTTGGGACTAACTTTTACACAAATAAAAGCCAGTGATAGATCAAATCCTACACATTCTTTTCCCCTTGAATTATAAAAACTTTTGTTTTCCATTTTGGTAGCAAACATGAAAATCACCACAGCTAAAGGTAGGACACCATTTTCAAAAAACATTTGATCAGAGATGGAAAACTCAATGGTAAAGTTAACAGAACAAGTAAAAGTGATGTTAAAAGCTGACGATATGACACACCGATCAAGAAACAATTAATAAATGACTGAAATTACTGAGGATGACTTTCTTTAGGAACACTGATAGCCCTTAGCAACTAGGTGGCAAGTTGGTCTGTAAATATTTCAATCAATTAAACTGAAAAATAATAACCCATATGCAACTGGGAAGCAAAAAATGTAAGAAAAAAACAAAGAGGGAGAGAAAGGGAAGAAAGAAAGAAGGGGATTTATCTTAAAATATTTAATCCAAATTAAAAAAAAAAATTCCTGATCTCTAAAACCCTTTACATTCCAAAATAGGAAAATAATTCTTTAAATGCTGACATTACAATAGGCACAGAATCAACTATTAGATACGAAATAAAAGTTATTTCTAGGCCAGCTGTCCACAAAATTGTGATTAAAAAGCAAACTTCAAATACTACTAGATCCATTTTCTTATTTGCTACCTAATTCCATCAGAACTAACAGAAAATTTAATAACCACAGAGCTTACAGACAGGAGGAACATGGTGATCTATTTTTGCTCATTTTTTTTTACCCACTTCCAGACAGAAGAAATTGGATAAACTATACGCTTTATTTTTTAAAACTAAAATAGTGCAAGAAGCCTTCCACTTTTTTCCTTTAGCTTTGAGCATAAGTGAAATGCAGAATAAAAACATTCTTTTTAAAATTTTTTCATGTTTGGCCCAGTAGCTTTGGAAACTTTGAAACAGTCTCTTTCGGGCTTCATTGAAGGAGAGATCTCTGCATAACTCCTACAGCATAAAGAAAATTTCCATCGAGGTAGATATAGACGATTCATCATCAGGAGGCATATATATGTATATCATGTATGCATGTGATTTTAAAAAACACTCTACAAATGTTTTTGAGTTACAAAATGTATGACACATTCTAGCTTATGCTCTTATGTCTGGTATACTACTATTTAGAATTCTTGTAATTGCACTTCTCCAAGAACCATGGTTAATAATAAGAGGTAGAGGAAACGGATCACTTCCTGCCTCCAAATAATGTCATACCCACCTATGCTTAACTGATTTACAAGCTCAGATAAATGCTATTTTCAAGCAAGCTGTGAATTATATCAAATGACTTTGAAAAAGAAGCCATGGCTTAACTTGTTAGTGAAGGAAGGCCTTGCTTGAAATTCATATCAACTTTCCATTCTGCAAAGCAACTCATCAACATAAAAATAGTTAAAAAGGACTTCATTTAATTAGTGATATGTAGACTTTTGCATAGAAAAAGGTTACAAAGTAATGCAAAAAAAGACTAGGTACAGTAATTTTAAAACAAATATTTAAAAGTATAATTTTGCATAATGTTTAACATTCTTTTTTATTGCTTTCTCCACACAGCAGAGAAATGAAGTGCATAATAATACATGCTGTGTCTTTACCTTTCAAACATAAAATCTCATGTGCTCAATTTCAATGTATTAAGAGATTATTCTGTCATCAAACAAAATAAAAAACAAAACAAAACCAAAACACCATTATGTAGCACTAGTCTAGGCACGGACAAACTAATTTATGTACATCCCATTGCATACATTCATCTTGATTTGGGATCAAACACAATCTTGAGCTTGACAAAGAGCATTTAAAAATTGTGACTTTTCTCTTCCCAAGGCGATCTCTCCATCTCCCTGTCTCATCACCTCCAGAAATGCTACTGCTCCCAAAAGGATGACAAGAATAGATAGTACACATCGTCAGGGCAAATGAAGAGCATAAATATGTGAAAATAGTCCAAGTGAATAGGAATAAATTACTCTCAACTTTTACAAACCGGAGTTTTCAAGTTGGCATGAATCCAAGAGCCCCTGGCAGGCACACAGTAGGCAAGCGCTCCTAGGTGCCCTCTATAAACGTATGGTTTATAGAAGCAGCACCATATTTTGAGCCACGAAACAAAAAGGTGCCTGGGGTTTGCAGGCGGGACAGAATGCTCGTTCCTCTGAGCCCTGATGGAATCGTTGCTTATACCAATGCGCTGCCGAGTGCCACCACCTGGCAAGTCCGTACAAAGAACGCAAGCTAAGATGAAATTAGGTCTTTCAACTCGAAAATCATTTTCAGCAATCCTTTTGGCCAATAAAAGCAGTCGGTTTCAACAGAGTACTCTTCTCCGGCACTGTGTGTCTGCAGCCTGACGCAGTCCTTCTGCCCTTTCCCTTCTTAGCCTAACGTCTGCGCTCCTCACTGTGCAATGTGATACGTTCCGGAAATAAAAAACTTCACCAGCTCAGGCACTTATGAAACACAAGTATCTTTTTTTCCATCTAGTTTCAAGAGAATTCAGTCAGGGCAGTTTTCTTCTCCAGTTTAGAGACACAGATGCGAGGCTGGATGTCACAGTCTGTGTCGTTTCCCGGGAAATGCTACATGGAAGCGAGTGTGAAGATTTCAGAAGTTGCTGATGCCAGTTACCAAGCTGCCTTAGACAAAAACAGAAAGAAAAAAGGATAATACCACATTTCCACTTGTGAGGTTGGTGTCTCAAATAGCTTTATTGTTGCTCTGCGGATCTGGAGGCATCCGCGCGGCTACCGTCGGGGCGCAGAGGCTCTGGGCCGACTCTGAAACGGAGGACATTCGGTTAAGGATCGCAGGAAGCGCAGCGACAGCTCAGAAAGCGCCCACTTCTGTCCCCCAGGGTCGGTAGGGTTTGCTGTTTGTCCCGCCGCCCGTCTGCTGCGGGCTGGCCGCCGCCGACACGGCCAGG